CCTTTATCAATGATTAATATCGCATGGCTGCTTAGGTACGGTGGGAAAGAAATGCGGTTCCAACTAAATTCTTTGAGTGGTCATTTGTGATGGCGAGGTCGCTTCTGAGAAAGTGCTACACAGCTCAGTAGGGGCCTTACCTCGTCAGATGGGAAAAACATAGTGAAGATGTCATTGTTTTCATGTTGTCTATTGGTATTTAAAGTTATTGTTTACCTTGCCTATACTTTGCAACGCCCACCGTGTCTGTTGTAACGTTCTGAGCCCATGCCCCTACTGGGACATCTGTGACAACAAAAAGCTTCATAGCTCATCGGATTCCTCCTGCGGTCTATGAATACAGATCCTGAAGTTCGCGTGTTCGCCGTGGTGGGGTCACGGTGGGGTCACGGTGGGGTCACGGTGGGGTCCAGGCGCAGCCCTGCAAGTGTCCGCTCGCTCGACTGGAGCCGAAAGAAGCCCCCCCCCCCACTACTCGTCTGTGCCGGGCTGGACTAAAAACTAAACTACTCGCTTTTATTTAACTCACTCTGTCTGTTGTATCCTCAAATCTTGTAACTCAATGTGCTATCGACTGCAAACTTTGTATACTTATGTCATACTGATGACAATACTATATTTTATCATTATTTTTTTTAAACAATCTTTTCTATATTTTATGTTTTGGCTTGGTTCTTATTGTCCACGCTCAACTGACGTTGGCTATAATTGGCCACGGTCCCCTTACGTCAGGGGTCGGGAATCTTTTTGACTGGGAGAGCCATAAAAGCCAATATTTCTAAATATATTTCATTGAGAGCCATATAGTATTTTTAACGTATAATAAATTAAATGTCTTACTTTTAATGCGACTTCTGGTCACGGGACCCGTGACCCGAGAAATTTTATCTTCAAAACTAATTTCTGTTTACTTTAAAATGACACAGTATTATTAAGCAATATCACAAGTATTTTAAAATCAGTTCGAAACTGATTTTATTTTAATTTTATTATTATTATTTTTTTCAACTCAAAATTGCCTGAGAGCCATATGCCGTCACCAGAAGAGCCATATATGGCTCGCGAGCCATAGGTTCCCGACCGCTGCCTTACGTGATGGCAAGCTTCGGGGCCACTTGCTGGAGTCGTGGAGTTCTGCCATTACTCGTACGGTTCATTAAAGCGTGTTTTTCAATAAGTATTTTTAAAGGTTACTTATTTTTTACGTAACCAGGTACGGCCCACCACTGAGCTGTGTGGCTCTTTTTCAGAAGCAACCTGGCCATCACAGACGATAGCAGCTCAACGAAGTCGCGGCTTTCTCGTCGTCGTCATCATCATGCACGTGGCAATGCATAGCAGTAGCCAAATACGCGTGGCCTTGATTCTAAACGTGGAGGGGAGAGCCAGATAAAGATCCACGCGACCACGGGGAGAGGGAGAGACACGATATGGACTGTGAAAATATATGTTTGGGTTAGATTGCGAAAATATAAATGCGTCGTCAAACCCGCCACCACCCGACACAGCCAATGAGGGAGGTTTGTCACGTAAACAAAACGTGACAATTTATGCGTTGGAGAGTAAACCCGCGACCTCCTGTAAACCAGGCGAGGTAGTTAACATATCCTAACCACCGTGATGATAATGAGAAAAAGACGCAGACTCCAATCGTCAGGGTCGGGGATCGAACCTACGACCTCCTGTAGACCAGGCGAGGTAGTCACCCCCACACGCTCCACCCCCACACGCTCCACCCCCCACACGCTCCACCCCCACACGCTCCACCCCCACACGCTCCACCCCCACACGCTCCACCCCCACACGCTCCACCCCCACACGCTCCACCCCCACACGCTCCACCCCCACACGCTCCACCCCCACACGCTCCACCCCCACACGCTCACCCCCACACGCTCCACCCCCACACGCTCCACCCCCACACGCTCCACCCCCACACGCTCCACCCCCACACGCTCCACCCCACCACGCTCCACCCCCACACGCTCCACCCCCACACGCTCCACCCCCACACGCTCCACCCCCACACGCTCCACCCCCACACGCTCCACCCCACACGCTCCACCCCCACACGCTCCACCCACACGCTCCAACCCACACACGCTCCACCCACACGCGCCACCCCCACACGCTCCACCCCACACGCTCCACCCCCACACGCTCCACCCCACACGCTCCACCCCACACGCTCCACCCCACACGCGCTACACCACACGCGCTACACCACACGCGCTACACCACACGCGCCACCCCACACGCTCCACCCCCACACGCTCCACCCCCACACGCTCCACCCCCACACGCTCCACCCCCACACGCTCCACCCCACACGCTCCACCCCCACACGCTCCACCCCCACACGCTCCACCCCCCACACGCTCCACCCCCACACGCTCCACCCCACACGCTCCACCCCACACGCTCCACCCCACACGCCCCACCCCCACACGCTCCACCCCACACGCTCCACCCCACACGCGCCACCCCACACGCTCCACCCCACACGCTCCACCCCACACGCGCCACCCCCACACGCTCCACCCCACACGCTCCACCCCACACGCGCCACCCCACACGCTCCACCCCACACGCGCCACCCCACACGCTCCACCCCACACGCTCCACCCCACACGCGCCACCCCACACGCGCCACCCCACACGCTCCACCCCACACGCTCCACCCCACACGCGCCACCCCCACACGCTCCACCCCACACGCTCCACCCCACACGCGCCACCCCACACGCTCCACCCCACACGCGCCACCCCACACGCTCCACCCCACACGCTCCACCCCACACGCGCCACCCCACACGCTCCACCCCCACACGCTCCACCCCACACGCTCCACCCTACCCACGGCGCAGAGAGTGGAGGAGAAACCGGTTTCTCCGGATCCAGAAACCGGTTCGACTCGCCGAAGCTGGTTGCGCATTGGGGGCCAAATCCGACAGAGCCGCACACAGACAAAGGTGGCCCGTGTAGCCTGTGCAGGTTGCAGGGCAAGCGCAGCTGCCAAATCCACCGCGCGCCCGGCCGCCTTTGTCTCCCGTCGTGCCCACGTCTACGACCGCAACGGATCTGATTTATGGCCGAGTCAACCCAGGGGAGGGCCGAGTCAACCCAAGGGAGGGCCGGTTACCGGTTCAGACATTCGCCTTCACCGCTGGCTGTGGTGGCGAGCGGGAATCGAACCCGCGCTCTCTCCGCTCGTTCGCCGTAGTGCGCTAAGCGCTCCCCCACCGCTCCCCGCGCTCCTCTGCTTGGGATGAATCCTCTCTGGAGTGACTCGCGCAGCAGCCATGGCGGCAGCCTTTGGTGGCACATGTTGTTTGACGTTTATTGTGAAATTTCGGTCACAGTTCCTATGATCACTGTTACATTGCTTTTATGGTTTTATTTTGGTGATTTCGAAAAGTTGTTTTGGTTTGGCCATGTTTGTTTGTTGTAGTACGGAGTTAGAATAATGGCTTTAATCTAAGTTGTCTTGTGGTTGTTGTTGTTGTTTGACTTGCATCCCACTGGGATTTTTGCACACAGCGTTGGTGTGCGGTGCTTTTTTTTTGGAAGACTGCAGTTTTTTCCTGGATTTTTCTGTTTGCGCCAAGTCACTTTAATAAGTTTTCTTGTTCATGTTTTTGTTTGTTGCGGTTGCACCCGATTCAAGAGCCGAATGGCTCACAGCGCTATACCTAATAAATACAACTGAAACTGGTTCTTTCGGTAAAGTCACGTAGGTATAAAAGAAATTAACTCACGACGTTTCGACTGCAACACAAGCAATCATCAGGTGGGAAAACCACAGCAAGAACATTTGAAAAAAGATTGCTTGTGTTGCAATCGAAACGTCGTGAGAATTTTATTGTTTTATTGTTATTTTCTTATTTCTCTTCTACGAGACTTTACCGAAAGAACCAAGAATGTGAATCCCTGCAGTCACGAAAGCTTCAAATCGGAATAAATCTGTCACGCTCAGAGCCTCCATTCGACAACACGACAAAGAGACCCCCCCCCCCCTCCCTCAGTGTAGCCTCGACAAGCTGTTGCGGCAAGTGCTGCTGGGGCAAGTGCTGTTGCGACAAGCTGTTGCGGCAAGTGCTGTTGCGGCAAGTGCTGTTGCGGCAAGTGCTGTTGCGGCAAGTGCTGTTGCGGCAAGTGCTGTTGCGGCAAGTGCTGTTGCGGCAAGTGCTGTTGCGGCAAGTGCCGTTGCGACAAGCTGTTGCGGCAAGTGCTGTTGCGACAAGTGCCGCTGCGGCAAGTGCCGTTGGGGCAAGTGCTCATTTGAGGCCGAGTCGACCTAGGGGAGGCCCAGCACCGGTTCAGAGGATCGTCACCGTTGGTGGTGGTCGTGAGCGGGGTGCTAACCGCTGCGCCACCACTCCCCACCTCCACCTCTCACAGCCTGAAACTCACCCCGCAGTCACCCCCCACGTGTGACTACTCAGTCAGTCACCCCCGTGGGTGACTCACAGAGTCAGTCATTCAACCCCCGTGAGTGACTCACAGAGGCAGTCAGTCACCCCCACAAGTCACCCCCCGTGTGAGGAGTGACCCACAGAGTCAGTCACCCCCCGTGGGTGACTCACAGAGTCAGTCAGTCAACCCCCGTGAGTGACTCACAGAGGCAGTCAGTCACCCGCACAAGTCACCCCCCGTGTGAGGAGTGACCCACAGAGTCAGTCACCCCCCGTGGGTGACTCACAGAGTCAGTCAGTCAACCCCCGTGAGTGACTCACAGTCAGTCAGTCAACCCCCGTGAGTGACTCACAGAGTCAGTCATTCAACCCCCGTGAGTGACTCACAGAGGCAGTCAGTCACCCCCACAAGTCACCCCCCGTGTGAGGAGTGACCCACAGAGTCAGTCACCCCCCGTGAGTGACTCACAGAGGCAGTCAGTCAACCCCCGTGAGTGACTCACAGAGGCAGTCAGGCACCCCCACAAGTCACCCCCCGTGTGAGGAGTGACCCACAGAGTCAGTCACCCCCCGTGAGTGACTCACAGAACTCGGCTACGAAGGGCGAGTGGTCGTAGTTGTCCTCGCACCAGTCCAGGGTGGCAGTGGGGGGCCCCCAGTAGCCGAGAGGCGCCATGGGGAGCCGGGGTGGAGCAGCAGCAGCAGGAGTCGAACTCAGCTGACCGCGTGGGATGAGAGCTCCCCACGCCCACTAGCCAGGTAGCCACGCCCACTAGCCAGGTAGCCACGCCCACTAGCCAAGTATCCACGCCCACTAGAGGTGTAGCCACGCCCACTAGCCAGGTAGCCACGCCCACTAGAGGTGTAGCCACGCCCACTAGAGGTGTAACCACGCCCACTAGAGGTGTAGCCACGCCCACTAGAGGTGTAACCACGCCCACTAGCCAGGTAGCCACGCCCACTAGAGGTGTAGCCACGCCCACTAGAGGTGTAACCACGCCCACTAGAGATGTAGCCACGCCCACTATAGGTGTAACCACGCCCACTAGAGGTGTAGCCACGCCCACTAGCCAGGTTATTAAGAAAACTCTTAGGAATTTTCAGTAGTCACGTAGGTAAAACAATGAAAATAAATCTATTAAATTACGACGTTTCGGAGGCAACACAAGCTTCCTTCATCAGGCGTAAAAAGGCACAGCAAAATAACTACAGTTATAACTACAGTTATTTTGCTGTGAAGGAAGCTTGTGTTGCCTCCGAAACGTCGTGATTTAATTGATTTATTTTCATTTATTTTTTTTACTTACGTGACTTTACTGAAAAAACCTAAGAGTATAAATCCTTGCAGTCACGAAAGCTTCAAATCTAGGTTATTAAGAAGTCAATTTAATTAAGTAGAACGTGTTGTCTATATTTATTTAAAGTTGCGCATTTTGATGTGACGTCACATTTCTCAACCCCTCGTCACACATCGTCACACATGTCTGACCCCCCCCCCAGGTGCGTGACGTCATTTATGGACGGCCCCAAAGGGGATCTGCGCGGTTTATTTGTGGCAAGTGCATCGTTGTGTGCAAGAAGGAGCGATGATGCCCGATCCACAAACGCGACGTCGCGACTGCTGCTCGCGTGGCTAGTCCCCGTGTCTGGACCGCCTCAAAGTGAACTTGGAGTCGTTCTTTGGAGAGGCCGAAACCGAATATCGTTCGGCCTCTAGTTCTCGAGTCGGTTTAAGACACACAGGCTCACCAGGCGACAGCAACACATCTGACTGTCGCCTGGTGAAGCTCGTTGTGATGACTGGGGAAGTGTCGTGCTTAAGAGTGTAAATGTTGTGGCTTGGCTCTCCAATACACCGGTGTGCTGCACTAGTGACGAATTCACGATGTACTTACAAAAAAATCCGCAGACTACCTGCTGGATCACTTCTCTGTTTCGAACCAATGTGACCTCAGGTCTTCGCTCATTTACCAGCTTCACATTCCCTATTGCCGTACAAATACTGGAGGAAGGTATTTTGTTGTCGATGCCCCCAGGGTCTGGAATGCTATCGCCAATCAACTGCAACTTGGATCGCTACCTGTGAGATCTTCACTCAAAACTGCTCTAGAGGAGCTGGACACCGCTAGCTGCCACTGCTATTCAGAGTGGCCTGAAATCAAATGTATCGCCCCGGATGACCGCTGCAAAGTATGATCTTGAGTTTTGATTATAGTGTGCTGATCTTAAAAGGTGCATTGAAAATTTGTGATACTCCTACTGATACTCCTGCTGTTATGGAGTGACTCATGCAGTCAGCAGTGGGCTCACATGACATTGACTTCTCCAAGACGGAGGTTCTCTGCAAGCCATCTGGCTACCATGAGAGATTCATTCATGAGGCGATCCATATATACAAACACAGAGACAATTTCAACCGAGAAGATGGATTCTGGCTTAGCAATCATTGGAAGGACGTAATAAACCATTTCGGATCTTAACTGATTGTTGTTCACGTTTACGGTGACTTTCAGACCGCAGTCCACTCACTGGCATTGACTGTGTATCTTGTGTTCTCCACAGGGAATGCATTATTTGCTCCGCTGCGGGTCTCCTGCTTCTACATACTATTAACATTCCCTCCCTTTGTTAATGCTACCCCCTACCCCCTCCCTTTGATGCTGCTAATCCTGCATAATGCACGGGCATAATATGACTTTGAAACCCCCAGCCCACCTCCTACGCATTTCCCATAAATATGCTACATTCCTCTTGATATGCAAATTCTTTTGTCAAGGCGCTCTTCCCCCCCTCCAACCCAGCTTAAAAAGACGCTCCAAGCCTGGGGTTGTCATTCAGACGCTGTCTTCTCGACAGACCTGTTCTTCACCTGAGGACGGCTGCTTGCGTTGTGGCCGAAACGTCGTGAGAATTATTTTATTATGTTTTATTTTTATTATTTTATTACTTCCCTTCTACGTGACTTTACCGAAAGAACCAAGAAGATGAATCCCTGCAGTCACGAACGCTTTAAATGGAAATGGGTACTATACAATACGTAGCGCACCCTAACACAGGAAGGGGTACCGGCCCCTTCACCCGGTCTGTCCGAGGCAGTGTCCCTCGGCTAACGTTTCCCCGTTAGCTCCTACACTCCTCTAACCCAGACCATCCTACTAGAGGCTAACTCACCTGGCCCAGCTTCGGCTCAGGTCCGACCCTCAGCCACACGAGCCCGGCCCTCACAAGGACACAGACCTCGCTGCTCTGAGGTCGCCCCTGGCTTGCCCTGCTCGCCTCTTATCAGAGTAGCGAGTCAGGGTAGTCCCAGGACTAGCTAGCTGGTCGTCAGTCTTCACTGGTTCTTCTGCTCCAACGACTGCCTCGAGCTCTCTCGCGCACCGCCTTATATAGCCAACTGCCCCCCGAGGGGCGGGGCTGTATGCGGACGTTGATGTAGACACCCCACGCACGGACCGTGATGTAGACACCGTAACGTAATGGCTTGCTACACCCCGGTACGTAACACTTCTACACAGGTAACAAGCTGAGATTAGTAGCACTCCCTTTAAGAGTGTGCTCCTAATCTCAGCTCGTTACCTGTATAAAAGACACCTGGGAGCCAGAAATCTTTCTGATTGAGAGGGGGTCAAATACTTATTTCCCTCATTAAAATGCAAATCAATTTATAACATTTTTGACATGCGTTTTTCTGGATTTTTTAAATTGTTATTCTGTCTCTCACTGTTCAAATAAACCTACCTTTAAAATTATAGACTGATAATTTTTTGTCAGTGAGCAAACGTACAAAATCAGCAGGGGATAAAATACTTTTTTCCCTCACTGTATATCGTTTATTGTTAGATTTGATTCACAGTTCCTATGATCACTGTTACATTGTTTTTATGGCTTTATTTTGGTGATTTCGAAAACGTTTTGGATTAGCCATATTTGTTTGTTGTAGTACAGAGTTAGACTGATAACTTTAATATAAATTGTCTTACGGTTGTTATTGTTTGACTTGCATCCCACTGGGACGCTTAGTAACTTGAAGATTGCACCCGATTCAAGAGCCGAATGACTCACAGGGCTATAACAAATAAATGAACTGAAATGAACCGAACTGAATTGGCTTGTTGTGTTTACGTGACAACCCTTACTAATTGGCTGTGTCAGGTGGTGGCGGGTTTAACGACACATTTATATTTTTACACGATCTAACCCAACAAACCTCTGTTATCGCTCTGTCGTCTCTGCATCTAACATTAGCAGCCGTACGACAGAAAAACCAGAATCTCTGATCAGCCTTAGTCTGCGCAAAACTATTCAACTGAAACGACGAGTAACATTTGTTTTATTAAATCCTTTATATTAAGTTCACTTGCTTGCTTGCTTGCGCGCTTACGACCGTGCAAATCTTTCGGTCGTTTTTAACCCACTTCCCGTGATCCAATCGAGCTGACATTATGCACACAGACTCGTTGTGCGAGACAATTAATGTTCGTGAAACATTTTTTCCAAATTTTTACCCTTTTTAGGATTTTTTTTATATTTAATTACCAATTGCTTAATGGTGGCAGGCAATCATCTGACCCATAGGTGGCAGCCATCTCAAGCCAGAGGACGAGAGGACTCTCGCCGCCACGCATATAAAGGATTTATAGTGAAAAACTTTGTTTTTACGGGTTAAATTTTTTTACCACTTTAAAAGGCCCCACTGAGCTGTGTATCTCTTGTTCAGAAGCGACCTGGCCACCACAAATGATAGCAGCTCAACCAAAGCATCATCATCATCACATGAAATTTACAGTAGCCGCCACATCACTCTAAAGACGCGTGGTGATGTTGATTCTAAATATGGAGGGAAAAACGGAGGACCCGGAGGAAAATCCACGCGCCCACGGAGAAGAGAAACGCAGACTCCAAATATACAGCACCCCCCACGTGCCCCCCCCCCCCCACATGCTCAACCACCCCCACGTGCTCCCCCCCCCCCCACGTGCCCCCCCCCCCACGTGCTCAACCACCCCCACGTGCCCCCCCCCCCGACATGCTCAACCACCCCCACGTGCTACCCCCCACCCACGTGCCCCCCCCCACATGCTCAACCACCCCCACGTGCTCCCCCCCCCCCACGTGCCCCCCCCCCCGACATGCTCAACCACCCCCACGTGCTCCCCCCCCCCACGTGCCCCCCCCGACATGCTCAACCACCCCCACGTGCCCCCCCCCCGACATGCTCAACCACCCCCACGTGCCCCCCCCCACGTGCCCCCCCCCCCGACATGCTCAACCACCCCCACGTGCCCCCCCCCCACGTGCCCCCCCCCCCGACATGCTCAACCACCCCCACGTGCTCCCCCCCCCCACGTGCCCCCCCCCCGACATGCTCAACCACCCCCACGTGCCCCCCCCCCCGACATGCTCAACCACCCCCACGTGCCCCCCCCCCCGACATGCTCAACCACCCCCACTTGCCCCCCCCCCCACGTGCCCCCCCCCCCGACATGCTCAACCACCCCCACGTGCCCCCCCCCCCACGTGCCCCCCCCCCGACATGCTCAACCACCCCCACGTGCTCCCCCCCCCCACGTGCCCCCCCCCGACATGCTCACCACCCCCACGTGCCCCCCCCCCCCGACATGCTCAACCACCCCCACGTGCCCCCCCCCCCCACGTGCCCCCCCCCGACATGCTCAACCACCCCCACGTGCTCCCCCCCCCCCACGTGCCC